TTAATCTATCAGATCAACCCGCTAGAGAAATTAGAAAATAAAAGAAACTGAATGATAATGAAAATGCTAACATATCAAAATGCAGACATACTGCCAGCACTGTCTTCAGAGAGATGTCTTATTTTAAAGGCAATTTTCAGAAAGGAAGATAGAAAAACAATAACAATTTTGTCAAATAACAACAGAAAAGGCCAAGCCAGATTAGTGGTGTGTATTGTTTTGTTTTGGTTTTGTAGAGAAAAGAAAAGGAGCGATCTATGGAAAAGAAAAGAAAAGAAAAGAAAAGAAAAGAAAAGGGAGAAATACAAGAGCAGAACCAGGAAAAGGGACTCACTTTCTGTTTTCACTAATAAATTAGTTAAGAAAGTTAAGAAAGATAAGAAACCAGATGGTTAGAGGGCTAAAATTAAAGTCTGACAGTCCCAAGAGTAGGAATGATGGGAGAAGGCTGAATATGTTGCTTTTAGTGATGGACATTGGCACACCCACTGTACAAACTGGTAGTTTTGTTTATAGGCATATGATAGTAATTTGAAGGAGAATGACCTTCATAGACTCACATATTTGAGTACTAGGTTCACAGTTGGTGGAGCTGTTTGGGAAGGATTAGGAGGTGTGACTTTGTTAGAGGAAGTGTGTTACTGGGGTTGGACTTTGAGGTTTCAAAAGCTGACACCATTCCCAGTTAGCCTCTCTCTTTGTCTCATAGTTACTGTCTCGACATGTAAGCTCTCAGCTACTGCTTCAACACTATGCCTGCCTGCCTGCCGGCTGCCACACTCCCTACCATGATGATCATGGACTTACTGTAAACCCCAAATTAAATGCTTAATAGAAATATAACTTGCCTTGGCCATGGTGTTTTGTCATGGCAGTAAAAAAGTATCTCTGAGACACATACTGTCTGTTATCATGGTTAGTAACCACCTTTTAAGATTTATAACTTGCCTGGGCCATGGTGTTTTGTCATGTGTCTGAGACACATACTGCCTGTTATCATGGTTAGTAACCACCTTTTAAGATTTTGTGTAGGTTGGTGTGTATGTGTGTATACACAAAGTGTGTGTAAGTGTGTGGAGATCAGAAGTGGATACTGGATGTCCTCTGCTTTCCACATTACTCTTTTGAAAGACGGTTTCTCACGGAAGCTGAAGATAGTCTGGCCAGTCAGGGAGTCTGTGGGATTCACTCACCTGTCTCTGGATACTCTCTCCTCCCCATCCCAACACTGCAGTAACAATGTATACCTCCGTGACTGACTTTGACATGGGTGCTGGAGCTCTAAACTCAGGTCCACAGGCTTGCACAGCAATCACTGAACCCACTGAGTCATCTTTTTCTTGAGCACTTGAGATGTGGATGAACTGCCCAAAGCATAAAATGTACATGGTACTTTGAAGACTTACTATGAAAAGATTTTAAATGAGTCATTTCCATATTAATAGTATGTTTAAATGGAACATTTTGGCTATTTAGAACTAATGAACCGAATGTTTAACATCAGCTCCACCTTTTAAAACTTCTCTAAAGTGGGCATTAGGAGAATTTAAATCATACATGTGACTTGACCCACATTTATATTCATTAATGCTGATCAAAAGCTAGGATCTTGTGGGTTTGGTTTTTGAGCTTATTTCTGACAGCAGTAACTACAGATGTATGCATTGGGGGGAAAGCACAAGATCATTCCATGTAAAGGCCTCAGACTGGACATATTTCAAATGTCCATCAACAGAAAACAGAAAAATCAGCTGTAGTGTGGTTATAACATGACATCCTGCTTAGCAACAAAAGTGAATCGGCCACAGCTCCAGTCAACAACACAAACGACCCTGCGATGTTGTCATAGAATTCATCTCATTTGATACCTTTTATACAGACTTTTTAACAGGGGGAAGAAACTACATTAGAAATCAGAATGGTAGTTAAATTTGGGGAGAATGGAGTGTGTAGGAATTGAGCAGAGGCTTTGGGGAATTCACAATATCCTGGTGGTGGTGGCGTGGACAGAGGAGTTACTTCCCTGAGACACATTTATGTAACGTATATTCACTTTTCTGTATGTCATTCTTTCCAATAAAAATTAAGAGGGGTTAGTGAGGCTTCCAGCAGTTTATTGCAAATGACTTTAGTAAGTGGAGGCCTTCCTGGAAATGAAGCTTCTGCTGTCTGATCTATCTATGGAAACTGCAGAAAAGCACATTGAGCAGTTTTTAAAGAGCATCCTCTGCCCCGCAAGGAAATGCTCACATTCCCTAATCAGTTCTTGGTCTGATGCCCTAGTTTAAGGATTTTTAACCTCTGTTTGCTCATAAAACTTGGCACTACAGGCCACATTCTGAAAATTACCAGTCATTTTTGGTTTATTTTGTAGTGCTGGGAGAGTTTGAACCTAGAGCCCCAAGCCTGCCAAGCAAACACCACCTGTGAGCTATACCCTCCGTTCTCCCTCCTTCCCCCTTTTAGACAGTCTTACTTAGTTACTCAGGCTGACCTTGAACTTGGGATCCTCCTGCTTCAATCTCTTGAGCAGCACCTGTCCTGACATCAGATAAGTTTTTAAAAATAAAATGTAGAACAAAAGAATTGAAAAATTTAAGGAGACATGTGGCAGAATTAGTCAGAATTTGTGTGAATTTGATAGAAACACACATATGTACAATGTATATAATATAATCTATGCTATCTATTACGCATCAGTTTGGGTGCTTTATGCTGGCAGTTTATTCAACTCAAGTTATTCAGCAGTTAATGATCTAAGGCCAAGAGTTCAAAAGACGTATCTAGCTAATGGAAAAACCAGGGTAGATATTAAAAACTATTCTCCAAAAAAAACCCAAAACAAAACAAACCAACAACAAAAAAACCTATTTTCCCCAACCACTTACGTTTTCAAGTCAAGTAACTGCTTTTTTGCCATCACGTGCCTGTCTCCACATTGATATATTGTGTTACCCTGTGTTATCTCATACAGGAAAAGCCTTTAGCTTCAAGGGCAACACCCTCACTCTCTTTAGATCCAGCATCCTTGCCAGATGTGGTGCCATGCCATGCACCTGTAATCCCAATATGTTGGAAGTTGACTGATGTAGGAGAATTGTGAGGTTGAGGCCAGCCTAGATTACAGAACCTCAATAAAATAAGATACAAGATGAACAGCAATAAACTAAACAAACATACCCTCATTCCTTTATCAGGATGATTCAATTTCTGTGTATGCATATTATCTTCTTAACCACACTGTAACATCTCTGCCAGATCCATATTTGTTTGCCTCAAGCCACCTCACTATGTCTAAGACATATAGATAGATACACAATGACTATAAAATAAGCATTTGCTGAATCAAAAGAACTTGCAAACATCTGGCTGAGACTTCACAATCAAATGCTATCCCATCATTACAGGGCTATGAAGAGCTCAGACTCCTGTGTCAGACTGACCTCAAAATTAATTTGGCCTCTGCATTTACTGTCTGTGTGTTGCTGGGTACATTACTTAGGCCGAGTTTCTCTTGATAGATCTGATAGTACCAGATGTACTGCATGAGATCACTGTGAGGATTAAAAGGAAAAATCGATGGAAAATATCTCCAGTAGCAGCTGACACAGGGAGAACTCAGAAAGCACTTAAGACTGCTTTTAGGGCATGGCAAATCCTGAATCAGAGAACCAACTGGTCAACCAGACGTGCTGCTCCAGGAATTACCATACATTGCTAGAACAGATTCTGCTTTTGTTTAACCCATTTTAGCTACAAGGAATTCATGAGAATTCCTGACGGAAACAACTCCAATTATTCCAAAAGTCTTCCCTTTTTCCCTTTCTCTTCCTTTCCTTTCCCTTTTCCTTCCCTCTCCCTCCCTTCTTTCTTCCCTTCCTTTCTTAGACAGGATGTCACTCTGTAGTCCTGGCTAGGCTCAAAGGCATGATAATCCTCCTGTTTTTGCCTCCTGAGCACTAGGGTTACAGGCATGCACCACATACCTAGCCCAAACTTTTCCTTACTATTAGACTGAACCTTATAGAATTGCTGTTTTGGGATCAAAATGATTAAAGTACCCACAATTTCTAATAACATTACTAGACAGTTGTCCTTTTATTACCTTTTTATTTTCATGCTGGCCCAGTGTCTTCCTACTATTTCGTAGATCATGACCCTTTAGGAATGATGGGAAATTGATGATGAATACCACAAAACTAGCTCCAGCCTCCACTGAGGCCCACATAGCACCAACATAGTTCCTGTATTCACTGATGTTTACGTTCTTGTGACAAAAAGCAAAAGCCAAGAGAGAGAGAGTAGTGGAATTAGTAAAAAAAAAAAAACAACAACAAAAAAAACAAGGCACAAGGAGATCTAGCTAGAGTGTCTTGCCCACTAGAAGTTTTGTGATGATAAACTATCCCATATGTGAACTATTCAGTACAATAGTCAGTAGCCACGTGTGTTGATAGCACTCAAAGTGATCCTAGTGTGATTGGGGAAGCTTTAATATGACTTAAGTTGTGGTGTGTGTGTGCGTGCACACGCATGCCTGTGTATGTATTGTGTTTCCCTCCTCTCGTGTGTGTATGTGTGATTTCTCTCTCTCTCTCTCTCTGTCTCTCTTTCTGTCTCTCTCTCTCTCTCTCTCTCTGTCTCTCTCTCTCTCTCTCTCTCTGTCTCTCTCTCTCTCTGTGTGTATGTGTGTGTTGGTTCTGGAATTCTATCAGAGTCTTGGACATCATGCATCATGGCAAACAATTTACAAAGACACTACATCATCTGCCCTTCATTTTATTTTTATTTTTTAATTTTTTGAGACAGAATATCATGTCATCCAGGCTGGCTTCAAATTCAGTGTTGGCAGCCTTGAATGCCTGATGCTCCTGCTGCAGTCTCCCAACTACTGGTGAGGTGGGGAGCACCACACCTGGGCTATGAGGTGCTGGGGGTTGAATCTAGTGTTTGCTGCACCTGCACGCTGGCCAAGCATTTTGCCAACTGAGATAGACCTCTAATGTCTTGCTTTTATTTATTAAACTATTAGATTTCACTTAATTAAAATAAAGTTAAATAGCCACATATAGCTAGTGGGTAGCAGACTAAGTGGAGCAGCTGTAGAGTAACAGGAGACAGACAAGAGATGAGGCTGGGAAAGACAGCAGATTGTGAAGAACTCCAAGGAGCATGCTGTTGACTGTGGGCTTCGTGCTGAGGCGAAGACGAGCCACTGGGAGTCTCAGGACAGGCCTTAATCTCCAGGGAGTGATACAGTCTCATTCAAGCTTCAGAAAGATACTTTAGCTGCCTTGGGAGATAGAGAAGAGGCGGTAGAAACGTTAATCTCTAAGGTTTTTCTCTAAGGACTCTCACATCCAGTATCTATGTGTGTTTCTAGTCATAGCAACAGTATTTGTTAATAGTAACGAATTACAGCTCTTACTTTCCCCTAGTTGCTCACAAGGTACCTCTCTTCCTAACTATTTCTGAGTGCCCACTAAAAAAACTTCAACTCCTAAGCAAGCGTGTCATCTGGGTATTTAGGCAGAGTTATGGAAGCAGAGTATCAAAAGGGAAGACACTCACCTGTCCTTCCTTCCGTTTTCAGTTCCCTCTGCTCTTCCCACGATTCTCTACTTCCTTCTGCTCTTCCCACGATCCTCCACTTCCCTCTGCTCTTCCCATGATCCTCCAGATCACTCTGTTCTTTGCATGCTCCTCCCTGCTGAGGCTGCTTTTAGCTGTGGTCCTGCCTATGACCTGAGTACCCCAAAGTCGTTACTTTCTAAGGTGTCAGTAGTGCTTTCCTGGGCTGGAGGCAATCGGTCATCTTTCTGTGTTCTCTAAGCCCACTCATTGCCTGACTCATTGTCCTTGGGACACCTTCCTTAACCTTCTCAGGTGTCTCTCTAGGCTAAGTCCCACCTATGGGACAAGACAAAACGAAGGACAAGACTAATTTAAGTCCCCAGGGTGGCAAGCTACACTTGCACTCACCTAAAGATTTTTTTCCTCTCTCTAGAAAAATATCAATATATACATATGCATGTTCATAGCATTCCCCCACATCTTCCTGGACACCTACTACACAGAAACACATGGACTTTGTGTGTAGATATTTCTTCAGCTCCTACAATTTCCACTCATGTGTCTGCGCAAAGCTGAGTCCTCCTCAGGATCAGCCTGCCCCTTTTCCACAGCAGTGTCCTGCGAAGAAATGAACAGCCCAGCAGCCCCGTGTGAGGCTTCCAAAGCTACTTTCTTTGGAGCTAGCTTGACCTGGCTTCAAGTCTCAGCCTGGCCATTTTGACTAAGTAGGTAGTCTTATGAAGATGACTTGACTTCCCAACTTCAACGTTCAATTCTACAAAATATCTCCCTAGGACGTTTGTAGAAGATTTTTGCTGTGATTTTTTTTTTTAATCTCATGTGTTTACTAGCTGTGGCTATTAAAACACTAAATAGGTACTGTTGAAAGCTTCAGGTGCCACAGGACTGGAGGGGGCACAGAATAAAGGTCAGACTGTCCTCCCACGCAGATGTATACGAAGTATAGAGAGCTTTTATGGGACATTTTATAGATGAGGTCAGTGAAGTCAGGGACAGGTAGTATCACAAATAGTCAGGCTCACACAGAGTCAGGCCAAGATTGCAGGTGTGTTTGGTCAGGTTCAGTCTAGGAATCCTGTATCCGAAGGCATCGGGTCTTTGGACGTGCGGATGCTCCCCTGGTGCACCAGTAAGAAAAGCAAGCAGATTGGGTGCTTTCTGATCAAGCCTAGATGGATACCACCATCCCGGTTGCCATGACAACCACAGCTTGGTCTAGGAGACTCAGAGCCGGGCCCCTCCCAACCACGCAGCGGACGTGACACGTGCGGCGGGGTCACGTGTTGTTGTTGGGGGCCCCCTCGAAAGCTGCTTCCGGGTCAATGCAGGACACTGGGCTCCGGCGGCCGGAGAGGGGGTCGAGGTGAAGCGGAGCCGGGCCGGGGCCGGCCGGGAACAGGCCGGAGGCGGAGCGGCGGCGACGGCGGTGGCCGGGCGGGCGGAAGCGCAGCCTGAGAAGCCGCCGCCTCCCGGGCGGGCCGAGGGGTGAGTGTAGCTCGGCTGCCACTCCGCTGGGGCCAGAGGCCCGAGAGGTGCTCTCCTAAGAGGGCCAATGGGGGTGGGAAGCCAGACCTGGGACCCCGGGAGGACCGAGCATTGACAGAGGGAGGCTGGGCAGCGGGAGTAAGCTAGGATGCTTCCAGCCTTCCTGAGGCCTGGGGTACCTGAAAGATGCTCCCTTGGTGGGAAACTTAGCTTTGAATCACTGAATCAGGAAAATATGTGTCCCCATCTGTAAGATTTGGTGTCTTTGGGAAAGAGCAGCCGTTCCTATACTCCTGTGTCACTAGGCCTGTCCCTTCCAGGACTGCTCAGAGCATGTAGTTTGATAGGAGTTTGAGGGAGCATCTATTTGCCCCAAGCCGTAGTAAGATGGGGTGCTGCCAGGAGACCCCCCCCCCCATCCTGGCTTCCTGGGAATGGCGTGAAAGGATTTGTGGTGGGCTGTATGCTGAGAATGGAGAGTACAGGCTTCCGGGGCTGCCAAGAGGAAGGCAGCCTGGGATTTAAGGAAAGGAAGAGTTGCCCCTTAGGGACATAGGCAGCGGTTGCAGAAGTTGTAGTTGAGGAAAAGTTGATTGGAGGAGTTGAACTGTTGACAGACAGTGGGGGAAGGAGGAGCTTCACTCCAGGTTGCTTAGCTACACTCGTTTGTAGGCACCGCCTTAAGGCTGGCAGGACCTCAAGGGCAGCTAAGGGCTTGGCTTGGACTCGTCCCTGTTCTCTCTGTTTTTGCTTGGGCTTTTGTGTGTGTACCAAGAAACTCTTAAATAGGTTTCCATGGGTCCATCCTGCGCAGAGAGTTTGAAAAGATTGTTTGGGGAAGGTGGTAAGGCCTTTCGGGGCCAAATACAGGCTTGGCTGGGCTTTCCCCTGCTGTGTTCATTCTTGGTGCCTGTCTCTGTGTCTGTCTCTGTAGTTCTTGAATGTGCTCATAGGCTCACCTTGAGCAGAGACCTTGAGCAGGGGTTGAGGATTAAGTATGGTTAGTCAGCCAGGGTCCTTTGGCTGTAGACCTGGTTCTCAATGCAATGACTTTCTAAGGTAAGAAAAACCAAAAACCTCACATCAATAAGGACATTATGATCTAGTACATACACCTCCGTGTGAGGAAAAGTTTGACAAAGTAGTGTTTTTGTGTTTATGTGCTTTGTTTTGATACAGAACCTCTTGGTGCTGTTGGCCTTGAACTTACTGTATAGCTCAGGCTAGCCTGCTGCTCACTGTACTCCTCCTGTCTCAGCCTCCCCAGTGCTGAGCTCAAAGGCATAAGGCACCATGACTGGCCTCACACAGCAGAGTTTGCCCTTATTGGGTGCCTTCTGCTTATTTCTGTTATATTCCATTTTCTTGCACTGGAAAGAAAAATGCTGACTGAATCCCACAAAATCGATTCACAGGTCACAATTTGTGGTTGGAAAAAAATGCCATTTTTAGACCTATTTCTTGGGTTAGTCAGTGTCACTATACTGTAAGCTTCTGGCGAACAGGTGTCACTCCAGGTTGGTGTGCTGTTTGGATGGAGCACCTGAGTGCTTCTGTTGATTGGGTGTCATCACGTGCTTGGTCCATTTCCTAAAGTACTATAATGTTAATCTTTGATGAAATTGGGTACAAGCATGACCTTATTTTCTCTAGCCGTTTCTGTGCCTGAGAAATACATTAGGCCTAGTTCTATTCAGCCACATTATCTTCATGTCATACTTCACAGGCATTTTTTTGTGTGTGTTCCAGTATTAAAAAGAGCCACTGAGCTATGGGGCTGGAGAGAGCCCCTGCTCTTCCAGAGGACCAGAGTGTAGTTACTAGCACTCATGCCAGGAGACCCACAACTGCCTGTAACTCCAGTTCCAAGGGGATCCATAACCTTCCTCTGGCCTCTGTGGGTACCTGTACACATGTGGCATATACTCACACAGATATAGCCACACACATACACATAAAAATAAAGCCAATCCTAAGAAAGATGTGTGTGTGTGTGACAGAGAAAGAGAGAGAGAGAGAGAGAGAGAGAGAGAGAGAGAGAGAGAGAGAGAGGCCTTTCTGCTGTTTGATGCCATCTCAAGCTCTTCAGTAGTTTTTAGATGGTGGACTTGCTTTCTGTCTGCAAAAGACTCTAAAGCTCTTGTGTTGGTATACAATCAGAAATCGAGTATAACCTTCAGTCAGGGAATGCCTAAATTTCTCCCATGAAGATACTTTTCAAATGTTTACAAAATAGATGAAAGGTTGAGGAGGTAGCTCAGTAGGTGAACACTTGCCCTGCACGGGTGAGTACCTGTGTTCCCTAGAACCCTCCTAAAGGAGCTGGGTACAGTGGCATACCTTTAATTCCAGCACTGGGGGATCAACAGCAGGATCCCAGGGGCTGAATTAGTGAGCTCCAGGGCTGGTGAGAGACTGTCTCAAAACATAAGGAAGATAGCTGACATCCATTGCTGGCCTTCATACATGCGTACCCATCTGCAAACAAGTGCATATGCACCAGTATTGATGAAAGCCATAGAAAAATGTTAAACCAGGATTCATTCTTTTTTATTGTTTGATTTTCAAGACAGGGTTTCTCTCTGTAGCCTTGATTGTACTGGAACTCCCTCTGTAGACTGGTTGGCTTCTGACTCAGAGATCCACCTGCCTTTGCATCCTGAGTGCTGGGATTAAAGACGCATGCCATCACCACTCAGCCAGTATTACTTCTTAATAAACATTAATAGGTGTTGGTGAACAAAGTAAGAACCATTCATGTGTTGCTGCTTCCTTTGAAAGTTGTGACACAGCCTGTTGCTGCAGGATGTAATGTAAGGAGTCTTTCTCTGTCCCGATAGCCAGCTCCCAAATAATGACAGGGAGACTTCTTATTAATTATGCCTATAGCTTAGGTTTGTTCCTAACTGGCTCTTATAACTTAAATGAACCCATTTCTATTAATCTACACTTTACCATGTGGCTTTTTACCTTTCTTTCACTCTGTTTGTCCGACTCCATTTCTCTTTGGTAACTCCTCTGCTCCTCGATTGTCTCCTACTTCCTCTCTCTGCCCAGAAGTCCCACCTCGCTATTGACAAGTCAGCTCCTTATTAAGCCAATCACAGCAATATATTTTTATACAGTGTACAAATATCCCATAACAACAGGATGTTGCCTCAGTTCAGTAACTGAAGATAGGATGTATACCGACGGCTTACCTTGGCAGTGTTGCTTTTTGTTTGGATGAAGATGAAATTCAGAGGCACAGTCACCAGGAAAATGTTGCCCCAGTTAAACCTCACCCGTGGAGCACATCTTCAGTAGATGCTGTATGAACGCACAGGTCACTGTCAGACTGAGGTTTATAAACCGGGCCTTCTGCCTTCACTTTTGACTTGTGGCATGGCTCTGTTGAGACGGGTTATGTGGGCATGTGTGAACCATCTCTGAACATAAACCAGCCAGATATTGCTTGTTTTAAAGGCCGTTTTGTAGTGGGTGTCAGGATCACTAAGGAAGATCCCCACTCGTTTCATATCTGGGGGACTCATTTGTATGTGTGAATAAACGACTTTGGAAAACTCACTGGGTGTGATCCTGTGTCCTTCTTAAACGATTATTTCGTCTCCTGACCCTCAAACCCACAGAAGGCTCTTTTGCTCTTGGGAATTTTGCTTCTTAACTGCTGAGGGTTTGGAAGTTATGCTTGATACTGTTGGGGTTCTGTGTAAAATGAAATTGTGTTGCTCTGAATAATTGTGTGTGTTTGCACGCACGCGCGTGTGTCTGTCTGTCCTGTCTTTTTCTCGATATTTAAATCATGTAACATGTATGTGGTCTACTCAGGCCTGTCTACACATCTTATTCCTGAACTGTGTTTGGTGTGAGTGCTTCATGGATCCTGGGTCTGGCCAGCTATATAAGAGACTACCCATATATACCCCTTCCCACCCCTACTACTAGTACTGGGGATTGAACCCAGAGACTCACCCATGGTAGGCAAATGGTCTACTACTGAACACTCCAGAAAGTGCAAGTAACTTGGAGCTGACAGTGCTGTGATTTGGGTTTAGTAGGTGAAAATACCCCTGAGCTGTGCTCTACATGTAGTTTAGTTTGTCACGGAGCTACCATTCCTGCCTTTGGAGGAGATGCTTCTTGACTTTTCTCTTGGGGCTTAGATCTGTGCTTGGCCACCTGTCTTGATGTATGATCCTTGGATTCCATTTGCTCTTGCCCAGCTTTGTGAGAGAACTCTTACAGAAAATGTGGCTATCTTCAGAAACCATTAGCTACCTGCTTTCCATTGCTGGAACCCAGTGTAAAGCCCCAGTGTAATGGTTGACATCCAGGGCCTTCTCCAGCGTTCCCCAGTTTTCCTTGTGACCGTCATTCCATTTCCCAAAGCAGGTGCTCTTCATTGTGCCTCTCTTTGCCTGTAAGAAGGTGTCCCTTTCTTTGCAAATCCTTTCCTGTAACCTCTCTCGTGTGAAGTCTTTGTGCTTGGGTTCCTGTATCAGAAATATCCAGTGGTCAGGAGGTGGTACCACCACCTTGAATCTCGAAACCAGCAGCATCATTCACAGAACTCCTAGTCGACATAACTGACAATTAAAAAGTAGATCCCTGATTCCTTCCTGGGCTTCCTGAACCAAAATCTCTGGGTTGGAACCACGAATCTATGTCTTAGTGCTCTCCCCCTTGATTGTTCTGCCCAGTAAAATTGAAGAGTCACCAGCCTAGCT